TCCCGGCCAGCCAGTGGTCAGGACAAATCTCTCCCACTCATGTCCCCCAAGTAAATGCACAGAGGCTTATATTAATTATAACTACTCAGCCATTAGCTCAGGCTTAATAGTGACTAGTGTTTGCACTTAAATTAATCCATATTTCTTATCTATGTTTGGTCATGTGGCTTGGTACCTTTTCTCAGTTCTGCCTTGTCATCTTGCTCTCTGTGGCTGGCTGGTGACTCCTGATTCAGCCTTCCTCTTCCCAGAATTCTCTTTGCCTGCTCACCCTGCCTATATTTCCTGCCTGGCTACTGGCCTATCAGCATTTTATTTATCAACCAATCAGAGCAACACATACTCACAGCATATAGAACAACATTCTATAGCCCTTCTCATTTTCTATCTAATCAAAAAGAAAGGTTTTAACTATAACAAAGTAAAGTTATATATAATAGAACAGTTATCAAGGAAGAATTACAGTTATAATATCTAACCTTTTGTATTTGACAAAATTAAAGAAAATACTCTATCTATCCTATATCTGTGAGTCTAAAGTTTCATAACTAATTTATCTTTTATCATAACTAAGGAAAATTATAACTGTCTAGTCTTCAACTACATCAAAGACCCCAGAAGGATATAATATTACCTAAGTAAACAGGAAGTGCTTTGTAAGCTACTTCCAAAAATCTGGAAATGACAGAGACAGCTGCCTGCCTGGTTAGTCATCCAAAGTTCCTCTGCAACATTGGGGCATACATCTTCAGTCAATAGACCTAGAGTTCTTTAGTCACTTCTCTGTGTCCTGTAGAATATTTGGCAGTCTCCTCTGTGAAGCAGGAACCTGAAAAACCATTTTGCCTAGCAAAGTTCAGTGGTCACCTTCCTATGGGTCTTGTCTGTCCAGTTCATACAACATATTATCAGCCGTCCAGGCAAGAACAGTTTCTTACCCAAATGGCTATTTTTGCCAAGAAGATAAACTCCATATGGAATGTCTTCCACACCCATCCTCCTCTTTGAAGTAATTGGTTGGACAGGAGCAGATGTGTCTCATTGTCCAGAAAAGTCTAAGTTCTTAAAACATTTTAAATGCCATATTCTGTAAGTCTTTGAA